TTTTTCCTTATGCCTTATTTAACTTGTCTGTAGAGTCAACTGACTTGTTGAAGTAAGCTCAGTCTATACTTTAATATGTCAGCAAAATTATTTGGTTGGTGAGTTGGACGAGTCGCTATCTACGTCAAATGTTTCGTCATGCAAGCAGACGACTTATCATTTGTGTTGAAAGACTCCACGACAAACAGCTCTTTACCATAGTCGTTGGGCGACTCAACATAAGGTTCCTTACGTCTCAGTACATACCTAACCTCTTTTTTATAAGGTTCCTTACGTCTTAGTACATACCTAACCTCTTTTTTATAACCTAGACTAGAGTGGAGGCTTTACTATGCCTTGAAAGGCTTAAGTTGAACCGGAAATATATAATCCAATTATGTAGCCATTGATGATGTTGCACTAAGGAAGTTGTTGCTGTTGATATTTTAAAATTCAAAACTAGATGTCAAAAATATTTCTTTCGTATGTTTAATGAGTCAGTCTACAAGTATGTGCTGCATATACCTACACGGTAAAAAAATACTGAGTCAGGCTACAAGTATGTGCTGCATATACCTACACGGTAAAAAAATACTGAGTCGGGCTACAAGTATGTGCTGCATATACATACACGGTAAAACAAATACTGAGTCAGTCTACAAGTATGTGCTGCATATGCCTACACGGTAAAAAATAACTGAGTCAGGCTACAAGTATGTGCTGCATATACCTACACGGTAAAAAAATACTGAGTCAGTCTACAAGTATGTGCTGCATATACATACACGGTAAAACAAATACTGAGTCAGTCTACAAGTATGTGCTGCATATACCTACACGGTAAAAAAATACTGAGTCGGGCTACAAGTATGTGCTGCATATACCTACACGGTAAAAAATACTGAGTCAGGCTACAAGTATGTGCTGCATATACCTACACGGTAAAAAAATACTGAGTCAGGCTACAAGTATGTGCTGCATATACATACACGGTAAAAAAATACAATAATGTAACAATATCTAAAATATATAATTTAACTGTCAAACCTAGGAATAAAGAATACATATTTTTTCTCTGTTTTTCAAGAGTATTCATATCCATCAATTGTTTATCTGTTAAAGTATAAGTAATAAAACTGACTTTCAGTAAAGGTCCACGTTACAATGAAAGATGCAGCCGTAAGGAGTATTTTTATCGTCACTTGAAGAATCCTGCAATATGCCCTACATAACTGAAAAGACAGCCATAAAGCTGGGTCTAAATTTTCATATTATACATATTTATTCGAAAAATCTTAATTCATTGCAAATCTTTAAATTATTTCTTATTTCTATTTTATAACCGATCAGGAACTTTGTGGTTTCCATAGAGTCAATATTGAATTTTATTCGTGCGAAAATACTTATTTTAGGAAAAATTTATAACAAACAAAAGTGCTTAAAATTAATAATATATAACTTACATAAGATGTATTTTTGGTAAATTACCTTTTCCTATATTCCCCTCTATGTTCTGTATATTTCACCATACATTTACTCTCTGTTCTACATTTTTCCTCATCACATGTTTTTAATATAAACATACCCGCGTAAATGTAAAGGTTTATACATAGTGTATGTGGATGATATTCAACATAACATCTGTTTTCACTCTGAATTCTAAAGTCCTTCCCTTATTCTATATACTGATGGAGTAAACTTTACTCATGTTGATGATTTCCAATCTTCGCAGATTTTTAGAATGAACTATATTCTACCGTTTAGAGGTGATAAAAGATGTCACATACCTGCTGCGTTGAACGCGTACGTAATACGTGAAAGGGGTGGTCATAAATACTGAGTTATTCGTGTACATTAACCGAATTACCGGGGATATCAAACGCAAGTGATAACGTTCACAACTTATAGCTGCCATTATCTTGCGTGTTTTCGGAAGCTACTTCTTCGCCAAAATCTCAAAGGTTTGTTTCGCATTTTCTCGCAAAGTTACACGAAAGCTATTTAGGCATAGCGATCCCTAATTTTGAACTGATACATTATTCTAGAAAGGAGATCAGCTAGTAAACAGCACATAGATCCATAATTCCTGAGCATTTCTAATCCGTTTGAATGATAAGATTTGACTGTCACTCTTATAGACTATTTACAGTCGGAAAAAATGCAGAGCACGTCTTTGCAGAAACGGAACGAAATCCATTCATTTTCAGCTCCACATTCCCTAGGCACGCTAAATATATATATATATGGAATAAGGAGTATAAGTTTTCAACTTCAAAATAAAAATAAGAAAATGGATGAAGATCGGTATAACTGGTTGTGTTACTTGGGCATTTCACAGTAATTCGTTTGGATAAATATGAGTCTAAGTTACCTGGAGTTGGACTTTTTCAAACAGAAATATGTTTCTAAAATAGCTGAACTAAAATGCAAAGGAAGTGAAAATGTTAAATGTTCCATGTTGTTCTTTACAACGAATGTGAATTAATTAAATCTTTCAGGCTGTTCTGTTCTATGTAAGGGAAGTGAGCTAGTGTTAATATTTCATGTTGTTCTGTGCAAGGGAAGTGAATTAGTGTTAAATGTTTCACGCTGTTCTGTGCAAGGGATGTGAATTAATGTAAATGTTTCAGGCTGTTCTTTGCAAAGGAAGTGAACTAATGTCACATATTTCATGCTGGACTATTAAACATTGGGACTCCTCTAGAACAATAAGTAGAATTTATTAAAAAACCCAGTCGACTATAGGAAGCAATAAATGGTAGCTTAGATGTTGTTTCAAAGTAAACTTGTACACAAAATAAAACAAATACTTCTAAAAAACATAAACACTGATACTTTTACAAATAAAACGTATACACATTTAATAACTACGTATTTATTAAAGTAATGCTTAAAGTGATGACTATTTTTGTGAATTTGAATATAAAAAGTTGCGAAGAGATAAAATAATCAAACTCCACCAATCCAGAAATGCGATTTATTCTGCGTCATACCTGTCACTAGGGAAACATTACATGATCAAACAAAATTATGCAGAATAAAAGAGAGGAAAGTTAAAAAAATGCACTTTATGAACCCTATGAAATTGTATCACTATCAACCAATGAAAGTTGTAATATATTAACTGTGTCTTACTTCCTAATAAATTGCGTCATTATCATTTCAACTTTTATTTTCCCGTCTTGGCCCAGCATTGCCAGGTGGTTAGGGCGCTCGACTCACAATCTCTGGGTTGCGGGTTCGAATCCCCATCACACCAAACATGCTCGCCCTTTCAGCCGTGGGGGCGTTATAATGTGACGGTCAATCCAACTATCCTTTGGTAAAAGAGTAGCCCAAGAGTTGGC